CGAGCTTACAAGACAAACAGATTTTGACGATGTCATTGACCAGTTTGCCACAATGAAAACAAGGAAACATTCATTCTAAGACCATAGTATCGAATGTCATTCTTTTGTGTATTGCCGTGTTTTGTATTTAGTTGTTCTGAAAGTGAACAGTTGCATTTTAAAAATCTTTTGATTGGAACTGATTATTTTGTGGTATTGGATTTTGTCTTGGATCATACATGTAAACAGTAACGTACCAGTCAGTAGAGTAAAGTAGAGGTAGAGCATGTAAAATTTGGCTACAGCTAACCATTCAGCATAGGGTGAATCAGAGTCATTGGGGTGACATTTGAGCAGACCGCCCCAGGTGACGTTTACTCTAGCTACACCACTGTTTCAATCATCTCGCATGACCTGTTGGGAGTTTCAAGATGGAGAAATCTGTTCATGGCATTCATGAAGGATACATTTATGTTCAGTTCATGCAGAAAGCTCATCAGGCAATGTAAAGTAACAAAAAGAGAAAAACAAAAAAACCACTAAAATGAAAAAAAAAAACAAAAACACTAAAATGAAAAAGAAAAACAAAAAAAAATCTAAAAAAAAAAAAAAAAAATTTAAAAGAAAAAAAAAAAATTTAAAGAAAAAAAAAATCACTAAAATAAGAACTCTAAATTAATTCTTATAAAAACCTAAGATTAAATAAATTAACAAAAAACTTAAATTACTTAAAAAAACGAGAAATAACAAAAAAAAAAAAAATGAAAATTATATAAAATCAACAACTCAATGATTTTTGAGACAGAAACAATTTTTTTTTCACTTTATTTTTTAAATTCCATTTTCTCCATACTTATATATTTTTCATAATAATAATAGTTTTCATAATTTTTTTTTCTTTTTTTAATTGCATGCAGATGACAGAATGAAGAATACTTAACAATGATATCAAGTGTTGTTGTCAAAAACTGTTCAAAAGTTGGTTGATGCTTGGGAAGTCAGGAGGGGATACTTATTTTCAAGAATTAGCCAAAAATCACAAAAATATTTTTGTAGAAGAAATAAAAAAAATGAAATCGTGTGTGTGTGTGTTTATATATGTAGCATTTTCTTCAGTCTAACAATATTTCTTATGACTAAACATTATTTCAGTGGGTACATGCATATATTGGGATGTCCAACAGTAGAATTAATGTCTACTGGCTTAGATCATCAAGTCTTGTTAAATAAAATATACCTTTCATCAAGAATTAAAACTGCATTTATTTGAAAAACAATCTTAGTTGGTACCATTTTTTGTAAGGCCTACCTTGGCCGAGATGGTAACAGCTCACCTAACTAAAGGTTGTTTTCCTGACAAATGCAAGTTTACTGCCATGATGTACATTTTACTTAATAAGGCCTTGATCATGGCCAGTAGACATTAATTTCACTACTTGTAAGTAAAGAGAGGTGTCTATTGAATTGGGTGTACCCACTAAAATAGCATTGAAGCAATAACAACATCGTGTTTTGTTTTGTTTTGTAAAGAAAGCGTTATGTACGTAAGAGTGCTTCATTCTGTAAAATGTGTGTACAGGGGGAAAAGTAAACAGTCATGAGAATTACTACAGCTGAAATTTTCCATAAAATAGGAAAGAAAAGACAAAAAAGAAACTTGGGATAAAAATTAATTATTGTTTGCTAAGATTAACTTGGATAGGATAAATAATAACACCATTTTGAAAGCTGCTGGGATTTGAGTAAAACACAGGTTTGTCATAATTGTATTACCAAGTAGCTTTTCATTGGGTGTGTGGGGTCATGTAGCTAAGGACAGTGAATATGTATATATATATTTTTTTCTTTCAACAAGAATCTTTTTGGGCCATTTGGAAATTTTGCTTTTACGAATCTTCAGTATTTTTTACACAAACCCGTTTGTATATTACGACTGTTCACAAAATTGAAATACAAATTGGATTTTTTTTTTTTTTTTTTAATCATCTGATTAGAAATAATTGGCTTTCAAAGCCATTGTTTTGAATTTAACCCCTCCTCAGCCAATGATTTTGGTTGGTTGTTGGATTTAACAGCATGTCAACTACTATTCAATTATTTTGGGAAACAACATTTCATTTTCAGATAAAATTTTTTATTTGTTTTTAATTTAGTAACTAAGAAACCGAGGTACCTTGAAGTACCGGAGCAGTAGCTGATACCACTCCCAGACATATGAGTTGACAGTTTCAATCTCAGAAGGGCATATAAAGAATTGATCGACATATAAACACATCTGTAGCTGGTTTTGTTATGTTTTGGACATGTTTATTTGTTCGTGTCTGGAAAAAAAAAAAAAACACTTTCGGTAAAAACGTAAAAACACATCTCCGCCGGGGAAGGGATTAAAGCATTTTGGTTGTATTGGGTATGTGGGTGGGGTAGAAATGAAAATTATAAAATATTCAAGTATAAATTAAAGAATACAGGTTACATTTATCTTTTATTTTTTTTAAGAATTATCATTCAATGAAATATTCTCAAGAGATTTAAATTTTTTTTTTCATACCAATTGGAAAAAAGAAAACAAAAAAAAACAAAAAAGAAAAACAAAAAAAGAGAAAAAAAGAGAAGAAAAAGAAAAAAGAAAAAAAAAAAAGAGAAAAAAAAGAGAAAAAAAAGAGAAAAAAAAAGAGAAAAAAAAAAAAAAAAAAAAAAAAAAAAAAAAAAAAAAGAGAAAAAAAGAAAAAAGAGGAAAAAAAAAGAAAAAAGAGGAAAAAAAAAGAAAAAAAAAAAGAAAAGGTGTGTGTATAAAAATAAATCTATAAAACCTAACAAAAACATGTCTATCACAATGAAAAGGTTCTTCTCTCAAATAGGCCCCCTTTCCTTGCATGCCTACTGCTTACTCCAGACTTCAAGTGAAATTTGTGTGTGTGTATATATATATATATATATATATATATATATATATATATATATATATATATATATGATTCATCACTGAAGATGCAGTCTTGGGTGAGTCCAAAAGATTCTACGTGGCCTTGTAGTGGTTTAATTGTTTTTTGCTTTACACCTTTCTCATGGACGAAACACTGCAAGTCTATCATTATTCTATGGCTATTTCCACAGAAAATGTTCAAATGAGCTACATCCTTTAGTTCCCACAGCTCTAATACTCCCAGTTAAGGCCTGCTGCCCTGCACACATTGAGGTGAATCACCCTCATTAGCTTTGTATCTCTTTAGTAAAAAGTGAGTTCCTCTTGGATAACGCCTTCCCAAGAACTGCTGCATTATGGAACAGACTCCGGAGAGGACGCTTTCCCCAATCCCTACAATCTCGACCTCTTCAAGTCTAGGGTTAACCATTATCTTTCCCACATATTCACATAAAGTATGTCCCTTACTCATATCAGTTGTACAACCAACTTTAATAGTCCTATAACGTAAGTGTCCCTTGGCTCTTGAGAAGGGGTGAAAATTAGCATTAAAAAAAAAAAAAAAAAAAAATTGTAAATTATTTTATAATTGTGCTTGTTCCTCCTTTTGCTAGTTCACACGACCATTACACCCCTCCAATACCTCATAAGTAATAAATAATGGACTATCCTGTTATGATCACTCAAAACAGATATCACAGATGCCAACTGGTTTCAGCTAAGAAAAAAAAGAAAGAAAAGAAAATGTTTAATATCTCTTTCTAATACCTCACAAATAATGGACTATTCCGTTTTGTGAGAAAACAAGACATATCAAAGTCACTGCTTGTTTTCAATGAGAAAATGAAAGAAAGGGAAGATAGAAGCATTTAACGTCCGTTTCAGTGAAATAGAAAAATTTGTCAATTTCAAAATTTCATTTGTACCTATTTACTTAAAATAATTCATATTTATTATTGTTATTGCAATATTTTGTTAAAGTTAAACTCAAATAATTCACAATGCAATAGACGAATTTCTACAGATATTATAGAACTCGCCATGAGCTTATTCAATCATTAACTTAAGAATTAAGATTTAAATATCAAACAAAGTGAAAGGTTTAAAAAAAAACAAAAAACAATTCTTTATTGAAGGTTTAACTTCAGTTTCACTTTTCGTCGTATTGCAATTGATATCGTCTAATTAAAACATATGTGGGGCACGGTATGTTGCTCATATGTATTTTTTTTCTTTTTCTAGCATGTGTACTGTGACATATTTGAAATATTACATAGTTTGGGTTCCCTAATGTCTTTTGAGAGTGACTTTATGCGAATGGATCATTAAAAAAAATGGTGATTTTAAAAGAAAATAAAAATTGCAGGCAAAATCAATGTAAACTGAGATCGGTCGCACATACAAAGAAAGATTTTGCCAAATTACGGTATTGAACAAAGATAAAATAATTTTATCATTTCTAAATTCTTATAACTTTAATGTACATAGGACACTGAAGGTAAAAGGCCTTCTGTAGGAGCTAGCATAAAATCGACCTGAAGGTGGCTTCTAAGCCAGTTTATATATCTTGAAAGAAAATTTTAATTGCCTAGTAAATTATTTCAAAACATTTTTTTTCTATTATTGAACATGTGCCATCCAAAAAAAAAAAAAAAAAAAAAAAAAAAAAAATGTCTTAATAAACTGACAGGAGGTAAAATGTTGAATTGGTTTTAAGAGATAAAGGTATGGATAGCTAAAGTAGACATTTCAAAAAATATGACCAAGATCTTTTATATAATTAGTGAGAATAATAATAATAAAACACCTGAAACAACTATAATTTACTGCAAGACTAGATTACTCTTGGGTGTTGAATATATGGCAGGGGGTCTTAATAATTGAGTAGGGGAGGTGGAATGTTTCTTGATGTGCAATAAACGAGGGATGGCATAAAATCATTTAACATGTTGACCGCCAGAGGTCAATTATGAAATCTACTTCAAACACTAATTTTAGGCAACTGAGTGAATAAAATAAAAAATGTCTGAGTTGATTTATAGTTTCAAATGAAGTCTTAACATTATTTTCAAACTAAAAGTATCAGTGAATAAATAACTCATTGGCGAGAGAGATAGATGGATAGAGACAGAAGACAGGGATAGAGAGAGAGAGAGAGAGAGAGAGAGAGAGAGAGAGAGAGAGAGAGAGAGATAGTAAGAGTAAAAACTTAAAATAAACTGAGAGCTCAATGCCAAATATTAATTCAATAACATCAAAATCCACTACTCAGTTTCATGTGATAACAATTATATATATATATATATATATATATATATATATATATATATATATATATATATATATATGATGGTTTATGTGACTAGTTTTGTCCTTTAAGACTTTACTGGCCTAAGTAAATGTTTATGCTTTTGGATTTGTCTATATTTCTGAGATGAGGTATTATGTACAGTATTTACATTAGTCGGACTATTGTCCTCATCTTTGTCGCCATATTTGTCACAACGTTTCGGCCATTGTACGCTCCGGCCTTCTTCAGGTGGTTGGAATTTCGAACTGAACCCTTTATTTCGATCGCTGGGGTAGACTGTTCTAATTCCACGTGCCATGTTTGATGGATGTCAGTTATCAGTTATCTCCTGCTAATTTTCCCTCTGAAAGTTCTCCACTGCCTTAACCAGGAATTGAACTCACCTTCTTTGGGTCTGTCACTGGATCTAACCAACGCCTTTATCCACTGTGCCATGTGTCCTTGAGGAGCGTACAACGGCCGAAACGTTGTGACAAATATGGCGACAAAGATGAGGACAATAGTCCGACTAATGTAAATACTGTGTTTATGCTTTTAGTCATACATCTTTCCTCTAAAATTGTTATTGATATATAAATAAATTTATAGATTATCATATATACATATATACATGACACCTAAAATTATATAGTTATATTTTTTTAGATGTAATAGCTTCAGAAACAATGTAATTAACTATTAAATAAATTACAATCTCAAGACTTTTTTTCTTTTTTTAAAATCAAAGTTGGCAAAAAAAAAAAAAAAAACACATTCAAATGATCTTAAGTGTTATTTGTTCTTATCGTAACAAGTGAAATTAATACTGAAAGCTTGAAACACATCCAAAAATAGAAAAATAAATTTGATGGCTAGAAAGACAATTTTCATATATTCTACCACAAGAATTTTGCTGACACACTTACTTGCCACAGTTTGTGTGAGAGAATAAAGACTACAGGAAAATTTATCTGAGCTGACGTGTTTCTTCCTTTAATGGACTTTATTAAGGCAAATGTATGGATTTTATTTTGCAACAAAAAGTTTTGTTTATAAATACTTGATGCAAAATAAAAACCTTACATTTGTGTTGATAAAGTCCATTAGAGGATGATTGGTATCAACTAAGTTTTCTTTTTATCATTATTCATATCGACCTTTTACCTTTTAGTGATACCGATTTTATAGTGATATATATATATATATATATATATATATATATATATATATATATATATATATATATATATATATATATATATATATATATATATATATATATATATATATATATATATATATATATATATATATATATAGATATATATATATATATATATATATATATATATATATATATATATATATATATATATATATATATATATATATATATATATATAGAGAGAGGAGAGAGATATATATATATATATATATATATAGATATATATATATATATATAGAGAGAGAGATATATATATATATATATAGAGAGAGATATATATAGAGAGAGAGATATATAGAGAGAGATATATATAGAGAGAGAGATATATATAGAGAGAGATATATATAGAGAGAGATATATATAGAGATATATATAGAATATATATAGAGAGATAGAGATATGAATGAGACTGTTATAGACAAAAAAAAATTTTTTAAAATAGCCAAAAACACCTATATTTGTGAGATGTTATTTGCATAAGAAAAACAGTATGGTTGTTGACAAAAGTCTTTGTAATATCAAGAAAATTGTAAATGAACACGGCCCTTTGAGCCATTTAATTTTTTTTTTTTCCTTTAAAGCTATGCAGAATTTATATTTGTTTGTTTTGGTTAAAATGCAAGAATTGCCTGTTGATTTGGAGGTTGCGATAAATTTAGTTATAGATTAATGTACTGCTGCCAATTGCCAGGGAAAAATCACATGGTTCACCGCAGAGCAATCATGAGGTCACTTCTGCATCTGGCTCCTCAGAAGATCACTACACAAATTCTATTCTGACATGATCCGCATCACAAGACATACTACACACCATATACACAAGTTGATAGGCACATCAGTTACAATTTTTTCATATATAAGCCACAATGCATGAGAAAACTTTTTTTTTTTTTTTTTTTAACTTCTTATGAAAAATCTATGTAGGAAAGGATATATACAGTCTTCCTAATATATTAGATTTAGAATTTTTCTTTAATCTAGATCCAGGATGGCCAAATTGCAGCTCATGAGCCACATGAGACTCTTTGACCTTTGACATGTGGCTCATGCTCTGCTGAGCTCCTTTTTACATCACAATTAATATAAAAAGAATTTCAAGTTTTATAATTATTTGCTATGTATGAATTGGGACCCCATTGGATAAAAATGCAATGTAACGTATATGTAAATGATGTTCATGTTTTGTGACTTTCAAACAGCTGAACTTTATTGCATGTCGCTCTTACATTAAGCAAGTTTGGCCACACCTGATCTAGACAATATATACAGCATAATTTATACCACTTCAAACAAAAGGGAGGTAACTCCTATCAGTACTGGAAAGAGCAATAACAGTTACTGGACTTGAGAAACCAGTTTCCCTGATAAATAGTTTTAAGAGAAAGATTTTATGAATTTTAACTGAAAGCTTTACTAGCTGCTTGGTCAATGAATACCAAATATATCCTTATAGGTTGGTTATCTTTCTTTATCAGCATTGCAGGTTATTTAATACTGAAATCTATTTTTTGTGTTTTTTTTTTTTTTTTTACACTATTTTATTTTTGGAAGCAAGTGTTTGAGCGACAAATTTTACTAATTAACCCCTATCTGGGGGGAGAAGAGGTGGATTCATACTTTTCCTAAGGGTATTTGCACTCTAATAAATACAAAACCCAATTTGAATTGGAACTCGGCTCTCCGATTAACTCAAATGGTCACCCATCTAGGTACTGACCAGGCTTAATGTTGCTTAACTTCAGTGATCATATGGGAACCAATGTTTCAACATGATGTGGCCATAAGTCATTTTCTTATAGGAAAATAACTAAAATTAGCATACTATAAAAAAAAAAAAAACGACGAAGAAGACAAACATAAAAGCAAAACCTTATACTCCCTCCCCATACCTGGTAGTAATAAAAAGAAAAGTATTAAATATATGAAATTAATCTGTTATTTTTTAACTGGTTAGTCATGAAACATTCTAAAAACATGCAGATGCAATCAAAATTTTGAGGGATTGTCAAAGATTATGACAATCATTATGGCATGTATAAAGTGTATAGAGTGCCCCACCCCCACTAAAAAAAAACAACAAAAAAAAAACAGGAAATTTTAAATTTACTATATGATGAAAAAAAATTAATATAAAAAAAAATACTATATATTTTACTATATGAATGAGCGAAAAAAAAAAAAAAAAAAAAAAAGAAAAAATTAACAATTTTTTTTTTTTAACCATTTGTTGTTTCAGGATGCCAGCATTAATCAAATTTTCAACACAAGGTGATTGTTTTCTTTAAGAAAGAACATCCAACTTGGGGATTGCAAAAATGCCAAGAAATTTTGCCAGAGTTCTTTAGTTTGAATACCACATCTACCATTTGTGCTTTTGTTCTGTCTAAAGCTACTAAACTTTTGTTTCAAATAACTGTAACAACTCCTTTCCTTTTGTTTCAAATGACTGTAACAAAAATTCCAACAAATAAACTGTACCAAATTTCCTGTTCCTTTTGTGGGACACCCAATATCACAAAACAATGCAACAGATTGCAATTAAGAATTTAAAAGACACTGTTCCAACATTTTGCTCCTATAATCACATCTCAAGCGGGAGAATCCAGTTCCAGTTCCTTGTATGAGTAAGGACAAAGCTAGACTGTAAAAATCACCAGTCTATATACCATCAAATTGGTAGAAAGGAGACTTAGTAATTATACATTATATCCTAGAGTAGTTTATACCTATCAAATCTGGTCAATACATAGTAAACATACTTCTGGCACTAAAGGATAAAACACTTTTCTTTTTGTTCTTTAAAATCACATATCAACAGGGTGAGTCCAGTTAGGGTTTCACATAAAGCCAAACTCTAAAAATTATCCTTACTAGTCATTATTTTTATGTTTGAGAAATCTGTAACAGAGGGGAAAAAAGTTTGCATGACGCATTTGATCAGACTAAAGTGATCTTCAAGTTGATACGAGAGATGCTGAGAATTTTAAATTGAATTCATTTTCTTTCCTTTTTTAAATATATTTTTGGGGTATGTTCTAGCCAATTTCATTTATTTGTTAATTAAATCTCTTTATTTGTTATTAAATATTCCACATTGTGATAATAGATGATCTGCTAAGAGAGGTGAATGGTAAAAACCTGGCATCATTAACTTGGTATGGAGGCTGCTGGTAAATCTCCTGCCATGAAGGAGTTGAGCCCCTGATAGCCACGTTGTCAGTCTAGCTCTCACAGATTTGGCAGAGCATTGAAACATCCTCAAGCACCAACACGAGAGAGAGAGAGAGACAAAGAAAGAGAGACAAAGAAAGAGAGAGAGAGAGAGAGAGCTCATCAGTTTTGAGTTCCAGCAGAAGTAAGCCTTTGTTCCATCTTCCTTGATATTATTCTTCCATAATTTGAATGTCCTGGCAGAATCTTTCACCTTGCTCATCACATCTTAACATCATCCAAATTAAAAGAAATCACTGACAAACTCAAATTTCTATCACTTTGATACAGATGATATAAAGGGACTATATCTAAGGATGTTATGTTTCCAATCATAACTTAGAACAGTAAACTACACAGGCATTATCATTTAATAGGAGTAGATATGTTCACCTATTGTCCAGTTAACTCCTCCACAGTCTTTTGAAAAGGAGTAGAGGTGTATCTCTTGTTTCCCATTTACGATTGCATTTCTAGTTCCTTCTAAAGTCTACTTTTTTGCTATACTTCTAACATCTCTGACTGAAATGTTATTCACTAATTAAATCTTGATCTCTTCAAATCTAGAATTAGCTGTTATGTTTCCTAGCCCCAAGAACTTCACTTGTTGCCCTTTCTTTATCCTACTATAACGCCACACAGTAACACTCTACCTTGATGGGACCTTGTGCCTTGAATTGGATGAAAAAAAAAATCTAAGGACTTCTCAATCATAACTTAGAACAATATAATTTAATGGTTAAAATAAACACTTATTTAATAAAAATGCAATACTGTTCTTTAAGCTTTTATATACAAGAATCCAGTTTCTAGCTCACCCTGCATTTGCAAGAAGTATAAACAAATCACAAGGCCAAACACTCCAAAAAGTTTGAATTTGGCACCAGAAGGAAATATTTATGCATGGCCAGTTTATGTTGCATGCTCAAGAGTAAGAAATCCTATGAATGTATTCTTCACAGTAAAAAAGGAAAAAAAGAAATTTTCTTAAAAAAAAAAAACAAAAAAAATACAAAAAAAAAACCACATTGTTTACCATGAAGTCCTGTAAAAATTAAAGAAATTATTAAAGTGTGAAGTAAGGTTTTTGTCAAGGTATTTTTCCAAACAAAAGCAGCTTATTCAAATTTCATGGATCAGTTTGCAAACTGAACGAAGTGTAGTTTGTAAATATCAACAATAAAATGTTAGCAATAATATCAACCATACTGTAAGGATTTCAACATGTGTTAGCATGTTGCAAAAAAAAAAAAAAAAAAAAAAAAAAAAAAAGCATTTTTTTTTTATATTTTGAAAGACATTAACAAAACTGTAATGGGCTCACAGCATGTCAATGATAAAAATGTCTTTCAAAAGATACACCTATTTATAAGGTTAAAAACTAGGGTCGCCATTTAAGAGATATAGAAAGTACTTGAAAAGAACTCTCCTGTTATTCAACCACCACCAGAGACAAATGCCACCAGTAACGTGATGATGTAAGTGCGGCCATTCTTACAGAATCAAATCTCTTGAATAAATAAAAAAAGCAAACCAAAAGGTGGTCAGTCTGTAATATCAGGTGTTACTGCCAGATCTACTCCTGCAGCCAACATGGTGAAGCAGGCATTTATCATTTGAGAACCCACAACAGATGTAAAAGACTTTTACAGAAATCTTTTCACAAAATCAAGCAATAATAATAATAAATGCTCTGATGCTACACCAGGATGGCTCACATGGCTTCTGAACATAACTGACTGGAGGTGCTAACATGTGTTTTGCTTGATGATTAAAATCAGCTACAGTAAATATCCTGTTCACTACCACAGATCTGTTTGTCAGTTACCCGAAGTTGGGCATGTTCCAAAAGGCTGACACTGTATATCTGTTCATTAGTGAGAGTGTGGAGGAAGAATCATGACCAGGTATTGAGAGGGTAACCACCACCATTTTTTTTACTTTGAAAGATGAGGCAACCAAGGCAACTTGGGAGTCACAAGTTGGTAGCACCCTCAATCAGAGACTGTATGAGTCAGTTGGATTCTTGATTGATTCATTTTCTGCAGGTTATTTAAAGGTAGAAAATATTTTTAGATTAGAATTTAAAAAAAAAAAAAAAAAAAAAAAGGTAATAACTTAGTGGCACAAGTCTCACTAATTAACCCATAGCTGGGAGGGAAAAGAGGTGGATTCATAACTTCCCCAAAGGTATTTGCACGCAAGAGAACATAAACCCAACTGGAATTGGAACTACGATTAAAAATTCCTAGACATTATCCATTACATCACCCACGCATCCAAGTTTACAGCACCTGGCATACTCAAGCAGTCATCCATTTAGGTAATGACCAATCTAAATGTTGCTTAACTTTAGTGATCATACAGAAACTGGTGTTTCAACAGGATGTCAATGAATTGATTGGATTACTCAATCTGAAGAATATTCACTGCTTTTATCAAAACCTGTCAACATATTGTGCACATTTGGCTGTGAAGCATGTGCATGTTATACCCTTATCAGCCTATGTCATGATGGGTACATTGAGTTTCATATATTTGTACCCCAGCATCACTTTCTTGGCATACTGCTTCAATAATATAGATATGAAAGATTCTAAAACTGGTGAGGAACTGGCTTTTACAATGATTTTATTTTATTTGAAAAGATTTTATTAAATAGAACAGACAAAGAATGTCTTGAGTCTTTTGGAAAGTCTTTCCTAGTGTCAAGCAAGTCATTTAATTTTTGGTTAAAAACTTGTAAAGGATACATTGATTTGTGTTTTAAGGCTTATTAACTTTTGTGGGGTATCTAAAGTCAAGACATATTTGGGATTGTATGAGGGTTCACTGCAAAGTTCAGAGGCTGACCAAGATTATATACACACAGGGTGACCCCCAAAAAACGGGAATTTTCGAAGTGTGTATTGCCAGACATGAGCAAGTGGCGACACTGCGAGACAGTGACCTTGAGCAAGTAAACATTTTGCCATTTAGAATTCAAGATGAAATTCACAGTATCCCAGCTGAGATGTTGCAGCAGTCAATGAGGAATCTCAAAAGCAGATTTCAAGAATGCATTTGTACAGGAGGACACCATCTGCAGGACGTCATTTTTTAAAAATGAAAATTCCATCATTGTTTCTTAAATGGCATGTTTTAAGATTTTAATTACTATGAATAAAATATTTTTTTTTTATTTATCACTCTTGGTTTTATTGCATTGTTAAAAAGTTCTCGTTTTTTGGGGTCACCCCATGTGTGTGTGTGTGTGTATATATATATATATATATATATATATATATATATATATATATATATATAAATAAAATGTAAGTAGACACACTTTAGTAGACTAAAAGACTGTAAGAGTTACCAAAAAGATAACTGGCCAATGCTGCAAGTGTATTCTGGTACACTTGCATGTCTTTTAATCTACCAACTGTTGTGTCTACTTATATTTACATCTTGGTCAGCCTATGAACTTTCCTGTCGAACCTCTATTCGATTTTGCCTCTAAAACGAAATTATGTTTTGAAATGCCGCCTCTTAAAAAATCATCTGTACTTTTGTTACAGCTCAATATACGAAGATCGACAGGAAAGTTCATAAGCGGACCAAGATTAAGTAGACAAATCTGTTAGTAGACTAAAATAAGTACAACTATACCAGAAGACAACAACTGTCGGTCAGCTGTAGCATTCTAGTACACGTGTTTTAGTCTATCAGTTGATGTGTCTTCTTACATTTATATCTTGGTCAGCCTATGAACTTTACAGCCAACCCTCGTTAGAAGATTTTTCTTTTGGTTTTGGTTTCATTAACAATTTTTTTTTTTTTGATGCTGACAATGATTTTTCCAACCCAACTATTTAACCCAAACCTAGGGGGAGATAAAGAGACAGAAAGATGGATTTTCAAACTTGATCAAGATTTCTCATTCTGAGATGTTATCCATTGCACCACTCACACATCGACTTATAAAAGAACTTGCCAAAACGATATGCCATGTTCCGAGCATTTCTGGCCAAGAAAATATAGAAACTCAAGCTTTAGCCAGTACAGTGTTTCAGTTGTTAACGGGTTCAAATCGACTTCCCAGCCATAACTGTGATGACCTAGGCACTTTGACAGGGTATAAAGGTTAGCAAGCTTGTTTTGCTAGTGATCCTCACTGGGTGCCCTGTACTTTCAGCTTTTGTCATATCTAGGCTACATTTAGAAAATCCCCACAACAATACTGACCCACATTCATTTCAAACTAACCTCTTAACAGTGTAATCTCCATACTGTTTTACAACTCTTGACCAACAACAGTTAAAAGTTATTGTAACATTACACACAATTTCAGCAAGTTCCTTTATCAGTTTCCACTTGACATTAAATGATTTATTCAACACCAGGAGACATTACCCAAAAGAAGCTACAGACATTCTGAATTTACTGCATTCAACAGAAAATGTTTGAAGGATTTTTTTTTTTTTTTGCACATGCTTAGTTTAAAATTGCATTCATCTATCGACAAATGTCAGACTTACTTTACCAGAATGTCGATCATTTCTAATCAAAACATTTTAAAAAACTGAATGCAGCCGTGGGTTGTATGGTTTCAAAAAAAGCTTAAGATTATTGAAATTTTTTATTTTTTTTTAAATAGTTGTCTGCATCATTATTATTATTTCAAATGGTGTCTGCCCATTCCCTGCATGTTGATATATGAATTGCATTTTCACACAATACGCTGAGTAAGCTGCCAGCAATATTTAAACATTACATATGGAATCAGGGAGGTGGGGGGTGTCACTTGGAGGTGGGGTGGGACTGTGGTGATGCACTGGAGCAGATGTTCATAAATCCATTCATTTATTCATAAATGGTTGCAGACATTTTTGTCCTCCCAAAGTAGAGCTGAGGCTGATCTTGCCACCCCAAAGTAGCACACATATATATGAGAGAGGGGGGGTAGAGAGGGGGAGAGAGGGGAGGGGTGGGGAGATGGAGAGAGGGGAGGGAGGGGGGGGAGAGGGAGAGGGAGGGAGGGGGAGAGGAGAGGGAGAGGGAGAGAGGGAGGGGAGAGGAGAGGAGGGAGAGGGAGAGAGAGGGAGAGGGAGGGGTGGTGAGATGAAGAAATTGAGAGAAAGAAATAACTAAAAGAAATAACTAAAAGAAACAAGAAAAAAAAGATGGCAGGGAGAGAAACGAGAGATGGGGGCAAGAGGAGACGAGGTAGGGGTGAGGTCAAGAGAAAACGATGGAATGATTGAAAATAGAGGAAGTGGCAATAAGGTAATAAAAGAATGGATAAAATATATTAGAGGTGGAAAAAGTAAAGATTGATTAATGAGAAGACAGAAAAAAAATCTTGTAGAGAGAGAAAGCGTATAAGAGATAAAGAAAAAAAGAGCAAAGATGTGAGTGAGAAAGAGAAAAAGATGGAAAAAGACGGTGGGGGGGGATGCTGCAGAGTCCACTAGGAACGTTCATCTGTCATTTCAAGGAATTGTGCATAAACTTCTCTCGTGCAGTCTCCTTTGTTATTAAAAGAGAATTTGTAGTAGCTACCATCAGCACACACAACTGAAAAAGAAAAGAAAAACATATTAGAAAGAAAAGAAAAAAGAAAAATGAAAAAAGAAAAAAAAGAAAGAAAAAGAAAAAAGAAAAAGAAAGAAAAAAAAAAAAAAAGAAAAGAAAAAAAAGATAAAAAAGAAAAAAAAGAAAAGAAAAAAGATAAAGATAAAAAAGAAAAAAAGAAAAAAAGATAAGAAAAAAAAGATAAAAAATAAAAAAGAAAAAAAAGAAAAAAATAAAAAAGAAAAAGATAAAGAAAAAAAAGATAAAAAAGAAAAAAAGAATAAAAAAAAAAAGAATAAAGAAAAAAAGAATAAAGAAAAAAAGAATAAAGAAAAAAAGAATAAAGAAAAAAAAGAATAAAGAAAAAAAAGAATAAAGAAAAAAAAGAATAAAGAAAAAAAGAATGAAGAAAAAAAGAATAAAGAAAAAAAGAATAAAGAAAAAAAGAAAAAAAAAAAAAAGAATAAAGAAAAAAAGAATAAAGAAAAAAAAGAATAAAGAAAAAAAGAATAAAGAAAAAAAAAGAAAAAAAAAGAATGAAGAAAAAAATAAAGAAAAAGAATAAAGAATAAAGAATAAAGAAAAAAAGAAAAAAAAAGAAAAGAAAAAAGGTGTGTGTGTGTGTGTGTGTGTAAAATAATGGATCCTTGCAAGCATATACAAAATAAGATTGAAATGTGGTGCGCAAATTTCATAATTCTTATTTTAAAACGAGTATATTTCATTGATTTTAATTATAGCATAAAAAACACATCTTTAAATTCTTTTCTCAATATTCACAAATATACTCATTGATGAGAATTATGCATTAAACATTTTTATTAGATTTTTACATATATTTGTCAGTGTTTTCTGCAAATGACGTCAAAAAATAATTTTTTGCAGCATTTTTTAATTCTTGATAATTCTTATCCTGTGAAACTTATGTAACTTTATTGAAATTTTATTTCAGATCCGACGCCTCTTTCAGACAGAATACGAAACAGACAAGAATGAAAATGTTTGACATTTTCTTCTTTGCTTTTAATTAAGGTCATAAAACTGACAAAGCTGTTTGCAACATTTGTGCTGTGTACAGAGATGACTTCATTACAGAAAAAAATGATATGAAATGCTTCAAAACAAGCAAATTTTCAATGCTAAGCTATATGCTAAACAAATCAACAGGCACAAAGAGGTAATTCAGTAGAAAAGACCCAACTGGTGATCAGTCATTTATGTGCCATGCGTGAGACATGCTTAGGTGATCATGTATCTTTTGATACATGACTGACAAGGCAGATTTTTTCCTGCAGTAGGTTGTCATTTCTTTCTGTGGTAGACTAGCTGCCATCCAAGGCTATAGAACCCAGTATCCTGCTGTTTACCCATAGCTGGGAGGAGAAGAGAATTCATACCTTTCCCAAGTTTATTAGCATATAAGTGAATGAAATGGATTTGATAGATATATAGTTAGATATCGTCAGACTTTTAATGTGAATATGTAGAATAACAATAATAAACAGCACTTACCGGTGTAAAGGTCCTAGTTAGCGTCCAGCTGGCAGACAAAAATAAAGCAGGTTGTAACTTAATACAAACCCTGCAAACTAACAGATGAATCAAGCTGGTATTTATATAGAAATACCTCCACGCAGGTACCAGCAGCCAATCACAGCCCAAGCAATGGACTATTCCACTTTAGCACAATGAGATGCTCTATGGCAACATAAATAGCTCTCTTTCTAAAGGTTGGATTAGTGTTCACTTAGCTTGCTCCACAACTAAGTGTTTATCTCTACCACGTGATTTTTCTAGATAGATAAATAGATGTAAACAGACCGAGATAGATCAGTTATGTGTCATGCGCGATATACGCTTAGGCAATCATGTATCTTTTGATACATGACTGACGAGGCAGATTTTTTTCCTGCAGTAGGTCGTCATTTTTTTCTGCGGTAGACTAGTTGCTATCCAAAGCTAAAGAACCCAGTCTGTTCTGCTATTTACCCGTACCTGGGAGGAGAAGAAGAAAATTCATACTTTTCCCAAGGGTATTAGCACGTAAGTGAACGTATTGGATTTAAATGGAATTCAAACTCTACTCTTCAATTCCTCAATCGGAGCTGCAATCTATAACTCCACCTGGTGATACAATGTGATTATTCAACATGATAATACTCGCCCCTGTGTTACTAACATGATTAAACATGCAATTAAAGAGCTTAGTTAGGAAGTTCTGCCACATACACTATATTCTCCTTATCCCCTTCTGACTACATACCATTTTTGGTCATTTTGTAATAATTTGGGGAGGGGGGGAGTTGTTCAACAATGTGGCACTTAAAACATTGTTGTAATGAATTTCTATTGTTGAACCATTGAACAGTTAGTAGCTTGTTGGCAGGAGGTCATAAACAATGGAGGGGAATATATCGTTGAATGATTCATCAGAATTAATAATGAATAAAAAGAAAAGCCAAAATACTAGACAAAAATTTAAAACAACATCATCGGCTTCCTACTTTAACTTTAACAAATATTGAATGTGTTAAGTTTTTCAAAACATGCATATAATTCAATTGAAATCAATTATTGCTTACATTTAAGAAATAAAATTGTATTAATTTTTCATGTTTTTTTTCTCTTGATATAATAACACAAATTTCTATCCTCTACATGCACATGGTTTTTTTTTGTTGCAATTTTACATACATGAAAAAAAAAAAAAAAAAAAGAAAAAAAAAAAAAAAGAAAAAAAAGAAAAAAGAAAAAAAAAAAAAAAAAAAAAAAAAAAAAAAAAAAAAAAAAAAAAAAAAAAAAAGAGAAAAAGCAAAAAAAGAAAAAAAAAAAAAAAAAGAAAAAAAAAAAAAAGAAAAAAAAAAAAAAAAAAAAAAAAAAAAAAAAAAAAAGAAAAGAAAAAAAAAAAAAAAAAAAAAAAAAAAAAAAAAAAAAAAAAAAAAAAAAAAGAAAAAAAAAAAAAAAAAAAAAAAAAAAAGAAAAAAAAAAAAAAAAAAAGAAAAGAAAAAAAAAGAAGAAAAAAAAAAAAAAAAAAAAAAAAAAAAAAAAAAAGAAAAGAAAAAAAAGAAAAGAAAAAAAAGAAAAGAAAGAAAAGAAAAAAAAGAAAAAAAAAAAAAAAAAAAATTAGTCACTTTTGAATTAGAAAACTAAATTCTAGCAATGTTTAACCAGCAAACTTTGCGCCTGCAAAAAATATGGAGTATCAAAAGGACAACTTTTCCATTGACACAGCTAATATTTTAACTACTCCTTGGCAATGTTTAAAAATATGATGAAAGTGAAATTTAAACATTTTTGTTATTCTTGAGAATTAGATTGTTTATCATATTTGCAACATTCTAACCCCCCCCACAAAAAAAACAAAATCCCTAATACTATTGTACTAAGGAGACACGGTGGAGTAATGAATAAGCAGCTCAGATTGAGGAATCAGAGAGCCGAGTTCGAATTCCAGGCAAATCTATTACATTCATTTACATGCTAATACCCTTGGGAAAGGTATGAATCCTCTTCTCGTTCCAGCTATGGGTAAATAGCAGGGCATATCAGGTTCTATAGCCTTGGATGGCAACTGGTCTACCACAGAAAGAAATGGCAACCTACTGGTTGAAAATAATCTGCCTCGTCAGTCATGTATCGAAAGAAACATGATCACCTAAGCATGTATCACGCATGGCACGTAACTGACTGACTACTGTACTAAAACTAATGAGATAATGATATATATTTTTATATGTAAAGAACAATATTGGAGAAAAATGTATGCTGAAGTGGAAAAAGTTCATCAGAAGTCAAAGTCCTAAAGGACGAAATGTGTCACAAGAAAACTTTTTCCACTTTGTCATATATTTTTCCCCCACTAAAACTAATGCAATGCCATATTTGTCATTTACCAAATTATAATGAAAGAAATAGGAAAACAATTTTTTATTAATAATTTATAAATGCTTACTAAATTACTAAAATATATGAATTAACTATAATAAAATCTTTATTATTTACCATTTTATAAAGTTTGAATCACCTGGCAATTAGCCGATATTTTCCCAACCTTTGCAATAAATATAATAAATAAAATAATGTAAATAAACAATCTAATAAATAAATAAATAAATAGTGCTTATGTTTGTTGTAAATTCTCAAAAACAAAGAAAATATATAAATTCACTTTCATATGTTTAAGTTTTATTTCAATTATATGTGGCTGAGTGTTCGTATTCTAACCATAAGACCTGGGTTTGAATCTGACCATGATCGATTCGTCAGGAAGGAGGACTTCCTGATGTTATCAGACTGGAGGGGGTCGATCCAAGCATGTGGCACCTTTGGAAATTGCCTGAAAATCATACCAAGTCTTGTGAGTGAAATTGGGTAGACAGATCCCTTGGGGGTCATTGATAGCTGTACTATCATGAAGTCACAAGTCATTGTGACCGAGGGCTTGAGCGTGCTGGCCTTGTTCAAATTACTGATCATGCTAGATAACACAATCTTTTCCAGAAACTCTAACTAAGGTCTGCAAAACATAGTTGCAGTATAAACTACAGTTGGGCTCTCTGGGGCGTTGAATAAACACAAATGTGCCTGAGCAAGCGTCTGCAATAGGGATTGGCTAGCCAACCCAGTAGATGAGTATCCTCAAGTACGAGTGGCCACACACATTATATATATATATATATATATATATATATATATATATAATCATCACCTTTTAAAACAATAAACATTGCTGAGAAGTGAAATAGCATCATCAATGGAAAAACTGTCCTTTTTGACAGTTTTATGTGGGCATGAAGGTCCAAGTTTGCCATTTAACCTTTGTACTCACAAAATAATGGCATGTCAAAAGAAAATTGTTATCCCTTTGAAACTGCTATTACTGTATACACTTGACTCTCTAAGCAATGTTTGAATTAAAAAAATAATTACAATTTTACTAAAATCCAAACATATGAAAGTGCATTTATATATTTTTTATTCTTGAGAATGACAACAAAGATGTTAAACTATTTATTTTTTTTCAATTGCTCTCAATACATAAATTCAAGGAAATAGGTTGAGGCATCTCTTCCTATTACATATTTTGTGACTTTTTATAAATTTTTGAAAAAAAAAGGTTTATTTTCAAATTTATTTTATTAAAAAGGTAAATAATAAACATTTCAGAGGGAGTCAAAAATGTAAACAGCACAACACTGACTTTGGTATCATGCAGTCCCATGTTACACTGACTTTGGTATCATGCAGTCCCATGTTACACTGACTTTGGTATCATGCAGTCCCATGTTACACTGACTTTGGTATCATGCAGTCCCATGTTACACTGACTTTGGTATCATGCAGTCCCATGTTACACTGACTTTGGTATCATGCAGTCCCATGTTACACTGACTTTGGTATCATCCAGTCCCATGTTACACTGACTTTGGTATCATGCAGTCCCATCCCATGTTACACTGACTTTGGTATCATGCAGTCCCATGTTACACTGACTTTGGTATCATGCAGTCCCATGTTACACACTCCCATGTTACACTTTGGTATCATGCAGTCCCATGTTACACTGACTTTGGTATCATGCAGTCCCATGTTACACTGACTTTGGTATCATCCCATGTTAGTCCATGCATCCCATGTTACACTGACTTTGGTATCATCCAGTCCCCCATGTTACACTGACTTTGGTCCCATCATGCAGTCCCATGTTACACTGACTTTGGTATCATGCAGTCCCATGTTACACTGACTTTGGTATCATGCAGTCCCATGTTACACTGACTTTGGTATCATGCAGTCCCATGTTACACTGACTTTGGTATCATGCAGTCCCATGTTACACTGACTTTGGTATCATGCAGTCCCATGTTACTGAAGCCCAAAACAGGGAATAAATTACATTCTTGAGTATAATACAACCATCCTTATGTAAATTCTTTTTGAATAGATAAACCATATTATCCATTAAAATCTCAATGTTGTACAAATCTCACTAAAATATATAATTTTTCATATTAACCCTTTGCTTGTCTAGAGCGTTTTCATGAGTACTATCGAAACATTCAGGTTTGTTTTCAAATTTATAACTATTGCAAGGCAACTAAGCTTATTTGGCAAATAGAATGTGCTGATATATAGTGTTTCACATAATAAAAATCAGTGCATCACATGTGCAGAACGTACAAATCATAAGTTATTTGCACTATGCTGTGCATCACATGAGATGCAAAGGTTATAATCATTTCAATAAAGTGAGAAAATAGATGTCTTTCATTTGAGACCTTAAATTATCAGTTAAGCGTCCTGTAGTTATATATGATGCGCAAAATATTAGATTAGGCCTTTCCTCAGATGCCCTGCTCAATAGTAGAATGTTTTTCTTAGTGGCCTTAGTTTTAGAACTCTTTCAAAAATCATGGCTTGTGTGTACCACATATGATGCACAGACTTGGAAATCAAATGTCCTGTGCGTCTCATATGATATGCAGGACGGGCAAAGGGTTAATGAAAAGAAATAAACCAAATATCTAGCCATTGCATGTTTCTTCTCTTAATTTCTGTTTCAAAATTCATACATACCAGGTAATATATTCTCAGGTGTTAATTAATCTAACATACTTTTCTGATTGATATCAATTTAATTAATTGGCTTTAATTTCGTTTTAAAATCTATTGTATCCTGCCCAAGAAAACATGGTAATAAAGTTGGGTCACTGTGTCAGGGGAGACAATTTTTCTCTCCAGAATCTATCTTACATATGTATGTCTACCATTTATCCATGCTTAGAATATTGCTGCCATATGCTATTTTCCTAAAGATCCTTGATAAGAGCCAAAGAAGAACCAGCAATATTATTGGTCCTGATCTGGTGGCTCAGCTTCAGTCACTTGCCTACTGCCATAAAGTTGCTTTCCTGGGCTTTTTTTTATAAATATTTCATGGTAATTGTTCAGACAAGCTCTTCGCTATGGTACCTAGACTGTATGAATTTAAGCGCAATACTAGACTAGTGGTAAGATCACATCAATTTACAGTTGAGCTAGCTAGATGTAGCCATAAGTTCTATGCTAACAGTTTCTCATCTCTCACTTCTCGCTTGTGTAACTCCTTCCTGGCTGCATGCTTTTCAATGAAATTTAATCTGCAAAAATTTAAATGCAATGCTAATCGCCATCTACTGTCCTCCTTTCTCTTTCCTTTCATTACTAATGATTCTGTTCCTAATTCCTCCATGCCCTATAACACCTTGAGTGCAAGTAGCTGTACTTCCTTATATGGGGTAATACCAATTTAAAAAAAAAAAAAAATACCAGTGTCAAAGAAAGAAGTACCCTTTTGACACACTTTCTTTTTTCCCCAGGTATGCAGGTTAAACATTTCTGGAATTTTTTTTTTTTCTTTACAACTATGAAAGGATAGAAAGTAGTTTAAATATTAAAGTCCAATGGTTGCAATAACTTCTGACAAAAAGTGCCTTTTTACTCTATAATTAGAAATGTTTATATTTACATGCAAGTTTTTTTTGTTTGTTTTTTTTTTTTAATGCGTTTTCATAGCACACCAAATTTATATTTATAAAACATTTTTTTTAAAGCAGATTTTGATAATTTCCTGTTTCATGCCTTTATTAGAACATACTTGTTAACCCTCCACCTGTATATCCACATTAAAACAATACAGAAACCAAATAAAATACAGTGTAACCCGGATATAAGAGAAACCCGGATATAAGAGAGTTTTTCTCAGGGTCCCAAATAAGAGCCTGTGTTAATGTATATAAAATAGACCAAACCCGGATATAAGAGACTTCTTCTCCAGTCCCAACAACTCTCTTATATCCGGGTTACACTGTATACAAATGCAGGCATTGGACTTTATGTAAATAGGAGTAGAAGAACACATTCTCCCAAGAACATTTCAGCACACATGAAACCAGTAATTGTGGCTGGCCATAAGAAACACCCGTTTATAAAAGATAGATTTCATGTGAAGCAGTCTCACTCATGTCTATTTTACCCCACCCTTAAACAGTTAATTATGTAACATATAAACACAATCTAATCTCCTGTTTACTGCAACTAAAAGTTAAGGATGAATTATTCATGTCAAATTTGTCATTAATATGTCATTTGCATTTGTAAATTAAATGTGTGCTGAAATTCTTTCTTGCCTAGCACCCCATTACTCCCTTACTGAGCAAAATTTATGGGAATAAAATAAATTGAATAAAGAAATCTGCTGCAGTCCAGATGAGGAGAAAATCCACTTACCAATCACAGAATTGTTATCAGACCCAAAGGCACAAATACATTGCGTGGCTGCCCCCGGAACTTGGAACTTAGAAAAGCTCCATTTGGAACTGAAGTATTTTGGCAGGAAACTGGCCGAGGCTAAGCTGTATAGATATATATGAAAAATAAGAGAAAAAAGAAAGTGGCACACTTAAGAGGATGAAAGCAACCAGCAAAGTTTAATATTTCTCTTTTCTTGTTTGTAATGAAGTACACATTTTGTTAAGTTAATTTGTTGCAAGATTCTATGATTTTCAGGTAAAAAAAATATGTCACTACTTTGTTATAGGAATCAAAACTTTGTGATGAGTATAGACATTTTATAGTAAATATTTATGGACACCTGGAACATTTGTCCCACAAACAATATCTGATGGACTCGAGTGTGTCTGGGTAAAAATAAGAGATACAAAACAATGAATATGAAACAAATGACAATTATATGCATGTATTAACAAAAGTAATTGCAGATGTACACAATTGAAATGAAAGGAAAAGATATTGAAACTAGCTATGAGAATATGCTTGTGAGGGAGTAAGTGAGTGAGAGAGAGAGAGAGAGAAAAACAAGTGTTTGTGGTAGAATGTGTGTGTATGTGCCTGCGTGAGATAGTTCAAAAGTCAGCAGAGGACCAAAGAAGCAAATGCACCCCAGTGGCAGCGTTCTTCATCTATGTTTGATGACACTCTGAAAGCAAGAGTTAAAAAGAGAGAAAGAATAAGCTTGCCTTTTTATATACTTAAAGAATGCCTGCTAACAGGCGTTTTTGGCAAAGCCAAGTGGAATAACCCACAAACTATCTTAAGTTCTCAAGAACTCCATTATGGAAAAAAAAGAAAAAGAATCAAAATGCAACGTTCCTAAATATTCCTTAAAATGCTCGTGGGATTGTTAACGAAAAATATCTTTCTAAAACAGACATTAATTCCCGACTCAAATGGTACCAGATAAAAAGGGAAAAAAAAAGTATTAATAAATTATGATATTGAATTTTTATTTTTTTTTTAAGACGCAATGTGACAAGGGCAGACAACTAAACATGCCTTTTGGTCAAGGGCCATAACTCATCTTAGAGACTCCATTTTAGTCATTTGGAAATAATGCAAGCATTTTTTTTTGATTTCAGCAAAGGTCTTTCATTGTCTAAAAAGAATACCATATATACTCCTGTATAAGCCTACTTCATGTATCGTGCAACCCCTGAATGTTTTTTTGTGAAAACCGGATTTTTTCATATAGCTTGTCTATAATGAAACCCCAGCTTTTGATCAATACTAGTAGGCCTCCTGTAGTCAAAAATTGCAGTACTGGGCATCATCTTGTACATATTTTATAGCAAATAAATGGTCTACATTTTTTTTTGTACAAAGCTACCCCAAAATAGTGAGAAAAACGACTTACCATAAAATATCTGAGATGAATATTTAGATACCATACTTTTGTTTTCAGCTATTGTTAATAAAATGTTCAGTAAAAAACTATTTTCTACATGTATCATAAATAATTTCTTCATTTAGCATGTACCATAATACTTTGTGTATAATTTATAAATGAATAGTAGGATATGCTTTTATAACACTCCACACTTTAGTTGATTCTTACTGATGATATTACTATATCGCAAATAAAGCTACCAAAATTAAAATTCATATTTCACCCTGTGCAATCATTTATCATATATTTGTTAAATAATAGTCTAGCAAACTATTTTTAAGGGGAATGGTATCTCTGCTTGGACTTCCCGATGTTAACCTTTGGGAAGAAATAGAACTCAAAACAAGGAAGTCTATTTTGATTGGCTGAACAATTTATAGAAAGGTTTTTCAGTGAGTTGTGTTTTAACCGTTTTAATAGTGCAACAAAATATTTATTATATATATATTATTTTATCATATCTCCCTTAGATATTCTTATTGAATATCTAAGGGAGATATGATAAAATAATACCGGTAAATGTAAAGAATATAATAAATAAATTTAACTAAACAGAGGAAGACCGAATAAGGAACACAACTGAAACTTTGAATATTAGACAAAAAGGGTGCTGTTAGAAAAGCAATAGCACAGTGATGTAAACACGTGCGAACGATGAACGCAAAGTAGAGAAAAGAAAGACATTGTTAATTCTTCATTTATATAAGATATTTGTAGATTTTAAGCGGAACACTTGTTAATGATGTTCTAATGTTCATTAGCAACAGAAAGAATCTAGGCTACAGGAGTTTACTTGTACAGTTAAGGTTAATTAAGAGTACCATTAGAATGTAGGCTTACTAGGTAGGTTACAGTCACCAAAAAATTACCTGTTCAAATAGTCACCAAAAATCCATGATTTTTAACTTCTCAAAAAAAAAAAAAAAAAAAAAAAATCACCTGGTATAGTCTCCTAATCACTAATTTTTTTTTGCATAATGAAAAACTTGTACGATAACGATATTCAAATATATATGGTAAATGAAGGAGCTTCTTTCTGTGTTAATGTTAACGCACAGTTGGCCCCCGAACGAAAATACTTAAGAAAAGTTATCCCCCTTCGACCGGATGGGTGAAAAATAAGACTTTTTGCCACATCCCCTTTTTGGGAGGACAGGATCATTCTGGGTACAGGTAATTCAGCTATGAAACTAAGGTGAGCTAGACGGATCTCCAAGGTCCCCATCTTATCCTTACGCATCCAGCAGCTACACTCACCATTCGAATTGTATTTTAACTAATAAAGTTTTGTTAATCCTCTTGTTTCATCTTTCTTCACATAGCCACATTTCACCCCCTGGAAACATAATAGTTAAGAAATCTGTTGATGCCCATGGTATTTACATTAGTTCACCCTTATTTAAATGTAGACATTGCAATGTACATTCTGTTGAATACCCTGTATCATAGAGAATTATTTTTGCAACTGATTATGGGATACGTTTCTATAGCTTCATCTTTCAGGCTAAGGAGCTCTAGTATAATGTTTCTGCCCAAGTTTAAGTGCAATACTAGGCAGGCAATGAGATTTCATCAATTTACGGTTGAGCTAGCTAGATGTAGCCATAACTTCTAGGCTGACAGTTTATTTTCTCGCATTTATTACTTGTGGAACTTCCTTGCGGCTTCATGCTTTCCAGCCAACTTTAATTTGTAAAAATGTAAATGCAATATCAATAGCTATTTACTGTCCTCTTGATTAATAATGAACAGAAAGAGAAAAGAGTAATGTTTCTGTTCCTAATTCTTCCACACCCTGTAACCCCTTGCATTTTAATGGCTGTACTGCTTTGCTTGAAGCAATACAGACTATGAAAAAAATAAATAATTAAACCCACCATAGCTGATATTTAACCTTGTTTAGTACCAAGCACCTTGAGTCTAAGTTGGATACTACCCTGCCCAGGGATAATAATTGTGAGTTCAATCTCAACTAATTCTGATTTTAAATTTTTTTTTTTTTAATGGTCTATAAAATATATATTTAGATTCTAAGAAGTCTTGGGAGATAACAATGATTTGCTGAAGTCCTATTAATTAACCCATAATTGGAGAGAGAAGCAGTGGATTTAGAACTTTCTCAAGGGTATTTGTAAGTAAGTGCATACAATGAACCCAACTGGAATTGGAACTTGGCTCTCCATCTTCCAACTTTGAGCTATTATATATTACATCACCACACATCCAAGCTTATAGCACCTGTTTTTCTCAAGTGGTCACCTATATAGGTACTGACTCAAAGTTTTTTAATTTCAGTGTTCTTGTGAGAACTGATGTTTCAATATGATATGGTCATCAGCCTTTAAATCCAATTATCAATAAACTATTTCTAGTATAAAATAATATAAAGATTAACTTTTCACCCTTTTAAGGATATGTGTTGAAAAGCTTTTTAATTTAACCACACCAGCTTTGGTACATTGATTTTTCTGTTCATCATGTAACACCCATTCTTACGCAAGTCAAAATTGGGACAAATTCATCAGCTAAATCTGACTCCATGCTTCTGAAGCTAAAAACAGACAATAAATTACATTCTTGAATATAACATAATTAATTTTGTAGTACAGCTACCCACCCCACACCTTTTTTAAAAGTACCACATTATCCATCAAAATCTCAATGTTATACATATATTTCACTAAAATATTTAATTTTTCACAATATTACGAAATATAAATTAACCGGATGTTCAGCTATCACATGTTTCTTCTCCTACTTTGTTTCAAAATTTATTTTAAAATTTTCTGGTGACAGGTGCTAACGAGACATATCCAACAATACATTTTAAGGTATTAATTAATCTATTATAGTTTTCTGTTTGATATCACTTTATTGTATTTCTATATATATTAATAGAATATGAAAAAAAAAAACAAAAAAACATTGTCTTTCATTAAGAATGAAGAAACATTGTGCACAAATCAAATACCTTTCCTTTTGTAAACAATTGCTGTTTCAAATAAGAGCTGAATAAAAGTTACTGAAAATATGTACCTGTGTATAATACATGCAAACCTTTTTTACCTTTATTTTTTGGTCAAAATTTCTCTTATAATGCAGGTAAAAATACAGTAATAATCAAGTTTTGGAAGAAGAAAACATTTTACAGAGAAACATTTGGTAAGCTAAAGATTATTAAAATTAAAATGTGCCCATGATAAGATGTAGTGTGAAAAGGACAAATTTTAATCCTGACAACACTTTTTTTTTTTTTTAACTACTTTTACTCCTCGGCAATGTTTATAGTTTTAAAAAGCAATGATTAGAATTGGATTAAAACCTAAACATTGGATGAAAGTGAATTTAAACATTTTTCTTTTTGTTTTAAGGAATTTACAACAAAAAAAATATTAAACACTATTTATTTATTAGATGCAAATGACTTTGAAACAAAGCAAGTTCAGTTGACCATTGATGACAATTCCAGAAACTATAAACAATTTTTTTTTTTGCTATCCTCTGCCAGCTGCAATGATGGAGAAAGCATTACCTCGAATCATCGCCAGTGAGACATGCTGCAAGAGCCACTCCGTTTCGCGAGGCTCGTCCCTTAATCGAGACGCAATCGCACCAATCCTCCAAAGGAACACCATCGAACGAGGGCCAATAACCCCTGAAGTCTCCACTGCCACAGGAGTAAAAAAAAATATCTATCAGCAAGAGAAGAATATTTAACTATTTTTTTCATCTCTGCGTCCTGGGCGATGGACCCCGGCTCAACTGGGGACCTGATCAAATTACTGGCTGAAAATGTATCCGCACAGGTCGCATCCCAAATCAACGACTTCCCCATTTTAAAAGGGAAAATTATTAGATTGTTTATTTACAAGAATATTTTTTATATTTACAACATTCTAAAACTTAAAACAATTAAATAGAACTAATGCAATATTTATGATTTACCAATTTGACACACTGTCTTATTGCAGCCACATTTGTCCATGTTTGCCAAAATGTATTTTAAAACCAAATCATAAAATTAGTTTCCTCACCTTGATTGTTTATTTTTCTTGGGGTCCTCACAAGAGAAAATATGGACAGTGCCGTGATCACTGGACACACAAAGCAATGTTGAATCTTGATTAAAATTTAAACTGAAAACGAACAAAGTAATAAACCAATAAAAAAAAAAAAATCAAAAAAATAAAAATCAGGAAAAGCTGATAACTTATTGCAGAAAAAAAATAATAATTTAAAATTAAATGATCTCTATCCATCTTCACACTGACATGGTTAAATATTTTCTTTGTATAAATTAAGAACTACATATGTAATAGGTAAAAAAATAATCATTTCAAACAATTTATCCATAATTCTGCTCCTGATGTATATCTTATTTGAAAAAATTGTAAAAATGCAAAAATTGTTGGTTGAATTTAACAAAATCTTTGGAGATTTATATACAGGAATTCCCTTGATTAGTGAAGCTAATGTGTACATTAGTAACTTTAAAGATATTTATTTTTAATTCAGTCAGTTATGTGCCATACATGATGCACGCTTAAGTGATCATATATCTTTCGATACATAACTGATAAGGGATCTATTTTTAATTCGGTCAGTTACGTGCCATACATGATGCACGCTTAAGTGATCATATATCTTTCGATACATAACTGATAAGGGATCTATTTTTAATTCGGTCAGTTACGTGCCATACAGGATGCACGCTTAAGTGATCATGTAGCTTTCGATACATAACTGATGAGGCAGATTTCCAAAACCCGCAGTTGGTTGCCATTTATTTCTGCAGTAGACCAGTTGCCACGCAAGGCTATAAAACCCGGTCAGTCCTGCTATTTATCCATAGCTGGAGGGAGAAGAAGAGGATTCATACCTTACCCAAGGGTTATTAGCACATAAGTGAATGTAATGGACTAGACTGGAATTTGAACTCGGCTCTCCAATTCCTCAATCCGAGCCACTATCCATTACTTTACCATGCCTTTCAATTACCATGGTTTAACTAAAGAATGTTTTACTGCACTAATCAAGTATTATGTAGTATACACTACTTGAATTTTGTTATATATAGCTGGTAAGCAAAAAAACAAGAACGGAAACTTGAGTAGACCAAGTTCCCCTACAGTACAGAGATAACACTTACCAATATATATGAGCACTGTTTGCTCCTCGGCGTAGTTCATGGAGCTGTGTACAGTCTGAAGTGTCAAACACACGAATTAAAGTTCCCTGTGAAAGAAGAGGTGAAACCATAAAAAAGAAAAGGAAACAATAACAAAACAAGATTTAAAGCACAGACATTTTCATTAGCTAAAAATGTTTGCATTCAATTTAGGAACGGTTCCAATTTTTTTTTTTTTTTTTTAATTCAGTGTCACCCCAAGCAAGGCAGTAAAGCCACTAAAATGCATGGGGTTACAGAATGTGGACAAATTAAGAGCAGAAACATTAGTAATGAGTAGAAAGAGCAATCAGGAGGACAGTAGATAGCAATTGATATTGCATTTAAAATTTTTGGAGATTAAAGTTGGCTGGAAAACATGGAACTGGAAGGGAGTTCCACAAGTGAGAAGTTTGAGAAAAGAAACTGTTAATATAGAACTTACGGCTACATCTAGCTCAACTGTCAATTAATGAGATCTCAACGTCAGTCTAGTACTGCACTTAAATTCATAAAGTCGAGGCAGAATAGCAAAGAGCTCCTCTGAACAATTACCATGAAAGTATTTATAAAAAATGGAAGAGAGAGATAGCCTTAAATAATAAATTACATTCAAATATTTCATCCACTCTTGGAATATATGAAAAGATCTTAATCGATTAAATCTTACTGGCACCTTTAGATCCACAAGTAATTTTTCTAACTTTCTGGACTTATAGATGATGATGACGATAATAAAAAAACAACATCATCATCATCATAAAAACATAATAAAAAACATCAACATAAAAACATCATCATCCTCATCATCATCATAAAAACATCCTCATCATCAAAAACATCATCATCCTCATCATCAAAAACATCATCATCCTCATCAATGTGCTGTGTCCCTTCATGGTTGATAATGGCTCTCTACAATTTCTTGTCCTTTGTAGCTTAGTAAATTGTCTTTTCGCTATCTCTCCCAATCTCTGGTCTGACAACCATTGACACAGGTTCCTTAAGATATGCTATGTGCTGCTTTCCTCTGTCCCTCTTGTCTTCAATATAACCTGTGAGTGTCAAATTTTCTAAGCAATCTTTTCTTTTGCTAACTTTGATGCTAACCTCCAGAAAAGTGACTCATTGCACCTTCTTGGGCTCACGTTCTCATCAGACATGAAGTGGAAAGATCATATTGAATCCATTGCTAGGTCAGCTGCTAAGAAAATCAGTTCACTATGTCAGGTGATAGAATTTCTCTCTCCAGAATCTATCTTACATATCTATAAATCTACCATTTGCCCATGCTTAGAATATTTGCTGCCATCTAAGGTCTGGTGCCCCTGCAATTTACCTTGAGCTCCTTGATAAAATTCAAAAAAGAATCAGCAATATTATTGGTCCTCACCTGGCAACTCTGCTGTCACTTTTCCACCACTATAAAGTTGCATCTATTTCCTTTCTATAAATACTTTCATGGTAATTGTTTGGATGAGCTCTTCACCTAAACATGTTTTTTTTTATTCCCCTCCCCCCACAGATAATGAATTGTACATATGGAAACTAGTTAGGATTTTCATAGAGACAATGAGGTATTATGGTGGATGTAGTAAGAAAGGCAAGAAAGAATGCATTGTTTTGGCGTTAGGAATATTGTGGTATGTTTGGGCCAGTGATCGTGGCTAGCTAAGTTTAACGTTAAGACAAGAAGACCATCCTATTCCCCATTTTTGGCCTTTTGCCATGTTTCCTGTAACTAAACGGAAATAAGTATCGCTCTTCACCTAGACATCTTGAATTTAAACACAGTACCAGACTGGCATCAAGATCTCATCAATTTACAGTTGAGCTGGTTAGACAGAACCATAAATTCTACACTGACAGTTTTGTTCCTTGCGCTTCTCTTTTGTGGAACTCCCTTCTGGCTCCATGCTTTCCAGCCAACTTTAATCTGCAAAAATTTAAATGCAATGTCAATCGATATTCTCTGACTTCAAGTCTTTTGTTCATTTGTGAGAAGATTGTCAAGCATTCACTGTCCTATAGGAGAATTGATATTACCTAACAGTTCAGTATTCTTTTCTTTGCTTCTATCATGTAATCAATTAAATGAATGTAATAATCTGTGATTGTGAACAAGAGAAATAAATCAACCGGGTAAAAGATTCTGGATAGAGTGCATCTGGTATGGCAGGAGTGAATCATTTCCCCATTTGTTGTATTTTACAGCATATCAACTTCAATGGATTATTCAATGATGACAAAGTTTTTATTGCTGGTAATAAGTTTTTTTTTAAAAATGTATTGCTGGTAATAATTTTTTTTTTTTTTTTTTTTAAATGTATTGCTGGTAATAATTTTTTTTTTTTTTTTTAAATGTATTGCTGGTAAAAATTTTTTTTTTTAAAATGTATTGCTGGTTATAATTTTTTTTTTTTTAAAATGTATTACTGGTTATAATTTTTTTTAAAATGTATTGCTGGTTATAATTTTTTTTAAAATGTATTGCTGGTTATAATTTTTTTTAAAATGTATTGCTGGTTATAATTTTTTTTTTTTTTTTAAATGTATTGCTGGTAATAATTTTTTTTTAAATGTACTGCTGGTAATAATTTTTTTTTTTTTAAATGTATTGCTGGTAATAAGTTTGTTTTTTTTTTGTATTAATAAGTTTGTTTTTTTTTAAATTATTGCTGGTAATAAGTTTGTTTTTTTTTTTTAAATGTATTTTTAATAAGTTTGTTTTTTTTTTAAATGTATTGCTGGTAATAAGTTTGTTTTTTTTTTAAATGTATTGCTGGTAATAAGTTTGTTTTTTTTTTAAATGTATTGCTGGTAATAAGTTTGTTTTTTTAAATGTATTGCTGGTAATAAGTTTTTTTTTTTTTTTAAATGTATTGCTGGTAATAATTTTTTTTTTTTTGGTAAATGTATTGCTGGTAATAATTTTTTTTTTTCAAAATGTATTAATATTTTTTCAAAAACATATTTTTAATATTTTTTCAAAAACATATTGTTGGTAATATTTTTCAAAAACATATTGTTGGTAATATTTTTCAAAAACATATTGTTGGTAATATATAGTAATAGTTTTTTTTTTTGAAAATTATTGCTGATAATATTTTTTTTTTTTTTTTTTACAAAGTATTCCTGGTATTAAAATACATTTTTACCCCAGTTTCAGTGTTAACTATTTGCCCATAGCTGGGACCCTAACAGGTGCTACCACCCTGGGTCAGGGTGGACCTGGGAACACCAGCAATTAAGAGGTGATTCCACGTTCCCCAAAACCTCCTGTCAGAGGCCTTGCTGCTGGGCATAGTTTGTTTTACCCAGGACGTGGATGTAGTTTATCATCATACCCAGGAGGGTCTTTATTTTGGTGTTGTTGATGGGGTGCATGTAGGAGGCAAGAGACCTTCTCCAAGGGTTATTAGCATGTAAGTGAACGTAATGGATTTGACTGGAATTTGAACTCGGCTCTCCGATTCCTCAATCCAAGCCGCTATCCATTACACCTTCTTACTTATATGATTTATTTACTTGATATAGATCGCTTTGTACAGGAATGAAAAAATTTGTACTTAGAATCAGAAAGAGACAAAATGTCTGGGACACATTGTGAGAAAAGAGGTGTTGGAAAATTTGACACTCACTGGATGCATTAAACATAAGAGGGTCAGAGGTAAACAGCAAGTACCCAATCTAATGCATTTGTGTAAATAGATGGCAGAGTAAGGGCTGAGAAGGATAGCAGAGACAAATATTATTTAGAACTATGAAGGATAGGAAGTTGTGGAGAGCCAGGGTCGCCTACCAAACAAGCTTGTGTAAATAAATAAATGGTAGACAGGGACTGGGAAGGATAGTAAAGAGACATTATTTAGATCTACGAAAGATAGGAAGTTGTGGAGAGCCATAGTCACCTATCTAATTCGCTAGTGTAAAAAGATGGCAGAGCAGGAAGTGTGAAGGATAGTAAAAGTTAGAGTTACAAATGATAAGAAATTGCAAACAGCAAATGAATGTCCATGTCCCTTCAGGACATGGCATATAACAGAATATCATCTTAACACACTTTCACTACCTTTCTGTTAAGATGAGCACTTAAGAATATAGAAATGTTCTTCAAAACCCTTTGCCCAGGGTTTTTAATTTTTTAACTTCTCAAAATCAGAAAAAAAAAAAAAAAAAAAAAAAAAGGAAAAAACAATGAAACTTACCTTCTCTGATGCTGTGCCTAGACGAGTTCCTTGTAAATTTAATGCAATACAACTAAGTGCCGCCTCATGAGCTGGAATGTCCAGTGGGGACTTTTCAGTATTAGCCAAATCCACCAACTGGACATGGCCAGTTTTGCGCCCTGGAAATGCCAGCAGTGAGTTATTACTGTTTGGACACATCACACACAGACCTGTAAAAATGAATAGATTTAAAAAAAATTTTTTTAGATAATACATATTTACCCAGGCACTCAATTCAGGGGAATTATTAGATTGGGCAAGACTGTACAGAAAAGATCAGCTCTTGTTACTCACATTCACTTCAGCACAGGGAAACTTGGTAAACACACAACTGCTTTAATCTTTAAGCTACAAGAACTAGATAGCTTCACAGAAGATCAAATCTAACTTAAAACTCATCACACCATTCCATAATCCCTCTAGGAACTGTATTTGTCTTTATATTAGAAGTATTAATTACAGTGTTACATTTTTATTAAGTAGATTATTATCAACCATTATTATGAATCTTTGACTACTATTTACTTTCAACTTTATTTTTATTATTTTTTTTTTAATGCTCTTCTCTTTCAGGATTATAGGCAGGAATGGCTCTCCACCGATTCCTTTCCTTTATTATCTGTGAAATGCTATAACTTCTTGGGGAAAATAGTGAAACAGTTTCAAATTCATAGTTGTCCTTCCAGACTGACTTCCAACTAAGATTAAAGAATTAGTAACTTTAAAGGCCACAGGAAGAGTTTATACGGTGAAAGGCACTGAGGGTTAACAAAAACAACTTGGTTTTTCTTCTCCTGCCATGTCCATTCAGGGCATGGGCAATCCTGGCTCTTCACAAATTTATTTTCTTTATCTATGAACAGCCAAGTCCCTTCAGGATATGGGCAATCATACCTCCCCACAGATTTCTTTTTTTTTCTTTGAATTTTTAAATGTGAATAGTTTCTTATCCTCCAACTCTTTCGGAATCCTCTGCACTGTCCTCAGATTGACATCCAAACACAGTTTCTTTTCTGCTATAGTTTTTTGAAAGAGAAGAGTGGTTTCCCAATTGCCTTCTCTACAGTTTCAAATTCAGTTTTTCTTTTTGGACAAAATATTAATTCTGATTGATTTCCATCTTCATTTTTTTTTTTCTTTTTATAAGACGAAGCACTGTCATCCATCATTATTGATCTTGACTAGTATTTAATTTTCATCTTGATATTTTTCGCTGCGTTTTAAAGCAACTTTACCCGAGCTGTCAATAAAATATGGAATAAAAGAATAAAAGCTCATGTTTCACATTAACAAAATGTCTGTTATGGCTAATATATAGGGTGAGATGGTTAAATTGGTGCCATTTTATGTAAATTGCTTTTGTCAACTGCACAGTATAGTAGGGTCAGTTGGGCACCGTCTGTGAGAGAAAGAGCACCATGATGCAATACACACCATCAAATATTTGGAAACCGCATGCTGTACTGCTTGGTATTCACACAGGAAGCTCCAATACGAACATTTCAGAGTGTTTGGATGTCAATCTGAGGACAGTGCAGAGGATTCAGAAAGAGTTGGAGGATATATCCAGTTAACACCATGGTGTTTAGAGTAATCACTAGTGATGGCGATGTTATACCTCCATCTTTCTACAGGGCCTCAGACTCAACACAGAGGCCTATATAAAGTGCCTTTAGGTGGTAGTGCTGCCTTAAGTCAAGTGGATGGCTACTGGAAGACCATATGTCTGGCAAAAGGACTCTGCAACATGACACACAAGCAGGAGAACCCAGTCATGGCTGTCAGACAATTTCAGCAACCTCTTACATCTGCACCACAGACTGCAACCCCCCTTAATTATCATGTGCGGGGCACAGTTGAGTGAGAGACCAACAAAACTCCTTGTAACACCAAAGATGAACTGAAGGCAAGGGTTATGGCAGCATTCATTAACTTAAATAAGGAGATTATCCAGAAGAGTTGCAGGTGATTTCAAAATCATTTGGAGCCTGAGACTGAAGCTAATGGTGATTTTATTGAATAAATTTACTCTAGTATTTCAACATAATTTTATGTAATGTTGGTAAAATGAGATGTCAGCATTATTTTCATTTTTGTGTCATTTAGACAGCAATTTAGCCATCACACACTGTAGATGTGTGGGCAGTGTAACTTATAAGTGTGAAAAGTGAAACTCTTGTGTCAAGGCTGTTTCATTCTCTTTGCACTAATGCCCTTGGAAAAGGCATGAATTAATCTTCCTCAAGTTATGGGTTAAATAGCAGAGCAAACTTTGAGTCTTGGGGAAGGAAAACTGGACAAAGTTTAACATTCATATCTGCAAAAATAACCAATGTCAAAAGGACAGTTTTTCTATTGACACTGTTTTGTCTATTACCTTGGCAATTTTCATGGTTTTAAAAAGCTATTTTTTGAATTTTAATAAAATCCAAACACATGGAACTGGATTTGTGTATTCTTTTTTTTCTCAAGAACTGAGGACAAAAGATTTAAAATGCTGGGTATGATGATACTCTACATTCAACAGCAAGACCTTTTGAAGGTTTTGAGGGGTAGGGAACCACCTCTTAATTGCTGGTGTTCTTGGGTCCACCTTAACCCAGGGTGGTAGCACCTGTTAGGGTCCTAGCTATGGGTAAATAGTTAACACCCCTGCCCCAAAACTGGGGTCAAACACTATGAAAATGTAAAAAATTATTACCAGCGATAAATTTTTGAAAAAAAAAATCCCAAAATTAAAAAAAAAAAAAAAATTATCAGCTATACATTTTTGGAAAAAAAAAAAAAAAAAAAAAAATTAAATATTATCAGAAATAGATTTTTTTGAAGGAAAAAAATATTAGCAGCAATAAAAAAAAATCCATCAGCATTAAATAACCCATTGAGGTTGATTGATATGCCGTAAAACAAACCAAACAAAAGAATTGAACACTATTTTATTTGATTGTTTATTTAAGAATAATTTTACATTTACAAGTTTATAAAAATTTGATCCAACTGCAATGCAAACATAGAAATAAATATGAAAACTAAAAATTTTTTAATCATAAATTCTTAATAATGTTTAAAAAAGGGAAGAAAATTTAAATAAACACAACTATGAGTAACTGAAATTATAATTAAAGAAGAAAAAAAAAAGAAGAAAGAAAAAAAAGAAGAAAGAAAAAAAAGAAGAAAGAAAAAAAAGAAGAAAGAAAAAAAAGAAGAAAGAAAAAAAAGAAGAAAGAAAAAAAAGAAGAAAGAAAAAAAAAGAAAGAAAAAAGAAGAAAAAAAAAAAAAGAAAAAAAAAAGAAGAAAGAAAAAAAGAAGAAAAAAGAAGAAAAAAAAAGAAGAAAGAAAAAAAAAAAAGAAGAAAAAAAAAAAAAGAAGAAAGAAAAGAAAAAGAAAAAGAAAGAAAAAAAAGAAGAAAGAAAAGAAAAAAGAAAGAAAAAAGAAAAAGAAAAAAAGAAGAAAGAAAAAAAGAAAAAGAAAAAGAAGAAAGAAAAAGAAGAAAGAAAAAAAGAAAGAAAAAAGAAAAAAAGAAAAAAAGAAAAAGAAAAAGAAGAAAGAAAGAAGAAGAAAAAAAGAAGAAAGAAAAAGAAGAAAGAAAAAGAAGAAAGAAAAAAGAAGAAAGAAAAAAGAAAAAAAAAAAGAAGAAAGAAAAAAGAAGAAAGAAAAAAAGAAAGAAAAAAAAAAGAAGAAAAGAAAAAAGAAAAAAGAAGAAAGAAAAAAGAAAAAAGAAAAAAGAAGAAAGAAAAAGAAGAAAGAAAGAAGAAGAAAGAAACAAGAAGAAAGAAAAAGAAGAAAGAAAAAAAAGAAAGAAAAAAAAGAAAGAAAAAAGAAGAAAGAAAGAAGAAGAAAGAAAAAAGAAGAAAGAAAAGAAGAAAGAAAAGAAGAAAGAAAAAGAAGAAAGAAAAAAGAAGAAAGAAAAAGAAGAAAGAAAAAAGAAGAAAGAAAAAAGAAGAAAGAAAAAAGAAGAAAGAAAAAAGAAGAAAGAAAAAAGAAGAAAGAAAAAAGAAGAAAGAAAAAAGAAGAAAGAAAAAAGAAGAAAGAAAAAGAAGAAAGAAAAAAGAAGAAAGAAAAAGAAGAAAGAAAAAGAAGAAAGAAAGAAGAAAAAAAGAAAGAAAAAGAAGAAAGAAAAAAAGAAAAAAGAAAAAAAAAGAAGAAAGAAAAAGAAGAAAGAAAAAGAAGAAAGAAAAAGAAGAAAGAAAAAGAAGAAAAAAAAAAGAAGAAAGAAAAAGAAGAAAGAAAAAGAAGAAAGAAAAGAAGAAAGAAAAAGAAGAAAGAAAAAGAAGAAAGAAAAAGAAGAAAGAAAAAGAAGAAAGAAAAAGAAAAAGAAAAAGAAGAAAGAAAAAAAAGAAAAAGAAAAAAAAAAGAAAAAAAAAGAAAAAGAAAGAAAAAAGAAGAAAGAAAAAGAAGAAAGAAAAAGAAGAAAGAAAAAAGAAGAAAGAAAAAAGAAGAAAGAAAAAGAAAAAGAAAAAAGAAGAAAAAAAAAGAAGAAAGAAAAAGAAGAAAGAAAAAAGAAAAAAAAAAAAAAAAGAAAAAAGAAAAAAAAAGAAAAAAAAAAGAAAAAGAAGAAGAAGAAAAAAAGAAAAAGAAAAAAAAGAAAAAAAAAAGAAAGAAAATAAAAAAGAAAAAAGAAGAAAAAAAAAAAAAGAAAAAAGAAGAAGAAAAAAAGAAGAAGAAAAAAAGAAGAAGAAAAAAAGAAGAAGAAAAAAAGAAGAAGAAAAAAAGAAGAAGAAAAAAAGAAGAAGAAAAAAAGAAGAAGAAGAAAAAGAAAAGAAGAAAAAGAAGAAAAAGAAGAAAAAAGAAGAAGAAAAGAAGAAGAAAAAAGAAGAAAAAAGAAGAAAAAGAAGAAGAAAAAAACTAAAAAGAAAAAGAAAAAGAAAAAAAAAAGAAGAAAGAAAAGAAGAAGAAAAAGAAGAAAAAGAAGAAAAAAGAAGAAGAAAAAGAAGAAAGAAAGAAGAAAGAAAGAAGAAAGAAAGAAGAAAAAGAAGAAAAAAGAAGAAAAAAAAAGAAAAAAGAAGAAAAAAGAAGAAAAAAAGAAAAAAGAAAAAAAAAGAAAAAAAAGAAAAAGAAAAAGAAAAAGAAGAAGAAAGAAGAAAAGAAAATGAGAAGAAAAAGAAGAAGAAAAAAGAAGAAGAAAAAAGAAGAAGAAAAAAGAAGAAGAAAAAGAAGAA